TATCATTCATGTAGGGATCCTCTTCTGAGGAATCATCACTTGTTCTGATGCCACTCGTCCTTTGATCAGAATGGCCATGCTCACTTGGATTGGGTGAATCCTTAAATGCATCATCATCAGCTTCAAAGCCCTCATCTACCTCTTCCTCAGGATATGGCTGGCTGAAGTTAAAACTGGGCTTTTCACTGCATGCATTGCCAGTCCGTTCAGTGAGCTCAGCAGGATACCCGCTGCCCGCAGACAGCGATCTCTCAATATTTCGGACACATTCGTCAATCTCGTCAAAGTTCAGAGATTCCAGAAACTCCTGGGCTGCTCGACATGCTTCATCCTCAAGCCGCCTGAGTTCCTCATCTCGGAGCTGCTGCAGCCTCTGTAACGAAGCCTCTGTCAAGGACAGCTCCTGCTGCTCCTTCATGCGCTGAAGGTCTTCAATTTCTTTTTCCAGACGCAAGATTTCTTCCACCTGTCTGTTTTCTCTCTGCTTCTCCACCTCTTGCTTCAGCTCTGCCTCCTTCTGGGCTTTCTGAATGGCAGCCAGTTCCTGCTGCTTCCTCTCTTCTTCAGCCTACGTTCAAAAAGAAAAAAAAAAAAGAAAAAAACCCGCAAACCTAAGATTACTTATTTTGTTGTTTAATAAAACACTATACTCCAGCCATGCTGTTCATTTAAAAGGACCCTTGTGCCTACATAGAAAAGAAAAGGAAAAGAAAAAGAAATGAAAGTATGATTACTTTTACTTACAGACACTGGAAAACTCAAGTACGTGCAGAAAGTTCAGTCTCTGCCAGAAATTAAATGAAGCATGAGGTGAAAGAAATTTCCATGCAAACAACTATATCAAGTTTCCTTTGGCTTTATCTGCCAACTACTGTAATAAGTTCAGTTTAAATGCCACGATAAGGCACTGAAGTCTCAGCTATGGCAAAACCTGACAGGTTTTATATTTTTTGGGATATGAAACAAGAGGCTTTGTGAACAAGACTGCCTGAGTCTTACAGGTGTGTGGGGGCTAAAAGTAAAGGAAGAAAAAAAATGTTAGCAAATCAAATTCAGCATAAGCTCATCACATACCTGTGCTGGGGCAATGGCTGCATTTACAGAGATCATTTGCCACATAAAAAGGAAAGCCAAAAATAAGGATGTGTTTGTGAATATGAAACTAACATGACAGCTACATGCATCTTTCAGCAACAGAAGTAAAGATTTCTCAAGTCACTTATTTTCCCTCAAGCAAAGGCTATTCAGACTGAGATTTAATATGGCATAGATAGGAAGGAGTGAGGTAAGAGTGCATACTGTACCTTTCTTCCTCCTCTTTTCTCCTTTCTTCCTCTTTCCGCCGCTTCTCCTCTAGTCGTTCTCTGTAAACGCGTCGAGCAAGCTGGCCTCGCCGCTGCTTCTGAAGGATTATGGCTGCTTTCTTCAGGCAAAGGAACCTTTTCCTACCACAGAACGCTCTGTAGTTCTTCTGTATCACAACCACGTAGTAAAGAACCTTTCTATATCGCTTTCTGAAAAAAAGACAAAGCAAGTTTCTAAGGAAAGAAGGATCTAATGGAACGGTCCTGAGAGGTCCTGCCATGGTGACCTGCAATTACGAGCCCACAGTAGTCAAACCATTTATTATTTTCAGCTCTGTGATATTTTCCCCATTCTGGCTCACATTCTCTTCCTTAGGAAAGGAAAGAGCTTCTCTCTTGTTTCTGAGAGCGCGCTATCTCCATCTTTATTAAGGAAACGTAAATACCAGTCTTACAGTGTTCTCATACCCTGACAAGAAGGTTCTACAAAGTACAGCTTGTGTGTGTGCCTGTGGAGAAAGAAGATACAAATATATCTATCCCACATCTCTTAAAAAATATATATATATAAACAGCAGGATAGCTTTGTCATTAAAAAGGGAATTACAGTTTTGTTGTGACATACTGGTCAGAATACGTAGACAAGGCTCATATATACATGAAAAGAAATGATCTCATTATGCAAACAAGTTTCCTTAAACTGTCCTCTACTGATTTATACAACAATCAGAGAAATAAATAGATGGGATGAGCAACTCCACCTAATACATAATGCATGAAGCCAGGTAAACAAACAAAACCAGTTATCTAATATCATGGTTCTTTAGAAACCAAACTGACCAGTTTTATTTACCTTCTCTGTCATTATCATGGCATGGCAAAGGTAAATTTGACAGTCAGGTGGTAACCTTGGGGTAGACCCATTAGGTGCCATGGAGCTAAATTTCCTACCACGATCAAATACCATGATACAATTATATGGACACTGGCTGACCTCCTATCCTTTATACTGTCCTATTCATTACATGAAAATAATTTAAACTCCATTTTGTTTTATTTATGGGACTGGCAAAGACAAAGCTGGTATTTTCAAAAGCCACTTACAAGATCTGGATGTGTGGTCCCTATGAGAAATTAAGAACTGTGCCAAAAGAATTTAGCTGCCCACCACCTCACCCATTTATTCAGAAGCTTAACTATTGAATATTCTCAGCCAGTTACTTACCGGGCTGCATAACCTAAGATGTGCGCTCGAATAATCATTGCTGCCTTGGTGACTTCCACCTCTCGCTGTTTCTCCAACTTGTGTTCCAAGGATTCCCGGAGAAAAACCTACACAAGAAAACACTTGGCTTAATAACCTGTGGTAGTGTCAAGGACAGCCAAGGTACTGTCAAATGTCATTCTGAGCAGAGCCTGGGCTTCAAATTCAGAGTCAAATGTATCATTTCCTTAACACAAAAGAAAAAAAAATGTTTTCCTCTTCAAAGAAAATCCCTGGACATGTTCCTCTGACTTTGGATTTCAGTGGGAAAACCCTAACTATGGCAATAGAAATTTTAATTAGGAGCAGGGGTTTTCCAAAAGCAACATAATTACTAGATTCATTAACCAGGCTTTCCCACCAAAGAGCAACAGAGGCCAAAAAAAAATGGTAGGATTTAAGGTGAACGTTCTCATTTGAGGGGCAGGAATAACACCGCTGGGAATTCAGCAGTGTCTCAGTTAGAGCAAGTCTCCACAACCTTTTATATAAGCCTCATTCCTTCAAATGCAGAAGTAAACAGAAATGAGAGTGGTTTCATATTGAGGTTGACTGGACTGTCTTTTCCTGCCATTATACATTGAGACAGCTGCTGAGGCCAGGTATGGCCTCACAGCTGTGCAGCCTCCCACAGAAGAGCTGCTCCCCAAGGCCTCCTCTCATCTGTGCTTTGTCAGCAGTTCAGGAAATGTCAGCCACTCTCTAACACAGAATAGCTGCAGTGCCTCCAACAGCTACAACACTCTTCTTCCAGCTAGAACTGACTGGAGTTAGAAGTGTAGAGAGGCACAGGTGCCTCAGTTAAGTATGACAGCAGACTATTTGTGCACACAGGCCTAGGAAGGACAGATGAATTCTCCTAAAACATACCACCTACCAACTCTCCAAGCCAGTCTCTATAGCAAGGTTGAGAGACCTGGATTGTTCACCTGAACTAATAGTGCTTAGCATAAGTAACTACAAGCATGAGGCTAAAAAGGATGAAAGCCTATTTGCCTCTACAGCATGGACTCTTAGAGGCAAGTTTAGCATAAAGCATTAAAATAAATTAGCTAAACCAGCTAACTTTTCCTTAAATGAATTAAACTGCATTTCCAGCTAAGCAGAGGACTTGGGGATGCAGCTACCCTCTTCCACTGGCACTGCTCGAAATATCTCAACTTCCGTTCTTTATTGTACCCTCACAAAGCGGTGAGTTGTCTGCTTTTTCTCGTCAATGCTTTTTCCGGTTCTCAATGTTTACTTTTCAAAGGATGAATCCTCTGGCATCAGCTATAGGTGACAACAGCCTGAGATTCTGTTGCATAAGACATGAGTAGCTGGAAAGATCTAGTTCAATGACATTTTGATTGTGTAGGATCAGAGGCAGGCTACAACACCACAGTGTGGGGATAAGGAAATCACATGGACAGTGTGGGCTCCACTAAGGGAAGAGTGCTGCATGCCTCCTTGGGTGTTTTGTTTCTTTCTGGCTGTGAAAACAGATTAAAACGCTGCCTTTGGGGAGTGTTGAGGTAGAAAAAAGGTGTAGTCTTTCCCTCTGTGTTTAGGGAAAAAAGCCCATCATCAGTTAGACCAACAGCCCTCCTGATGAGAGGGGCAGTTCTGAGAGTAGCTAGAAAGGGATTCGATTTTGCAACACATGACTCAACACTAACAAACAGCCAGGAAGTCCCACGGACTAGGAACTCGTCAATGTCCAAGTTGCACTATGCAGCCCTTATATGTAGTCTTTACTCGTGTGTATAAAATAGGCTGTGATGGAAAAAGCCTTCTGTGTCACCCAACAGGCAATCTTTCTTTGCCCTGCACACACCAGCTTTAAAAACGTACTGAAAGTCAGATTTAGAAAGGCATTCAGCTACTTCCTGAAGAAAAATGGATGTAAGCACGTACTAAGCACAGACTAATGCATTTTCCTGAACAGGTGCATTGCAGCTAGACATGTAAGAACAAGGAAAATTCACACTGAAAGCTAATCTTCACAATGTTGTTATGACCTCTTTCAAATTACATGGACGGGAGAGCGCACTGCACTCCGTTCAGTCTGAAACCAGTGCCCTCTTGTTCTCTTCTAAAATAAGCTATTTATGGAGACTCTTAAAAACATGCACACAGCTCCTGGGTGCAATTATTGCTGGCCCCAGCAGGGGAAGTTATAAACAGATCTCTGGCTCCTGCTGAGGTCCTGACAAGCACAGTTTGTTCAAATAATTTAGGGTTCCCATAAACGTATTTCCCTAAGATTCCAAAGCACTGTCCAGGGTCTAAATCATTTGAAATTTTCTTGGAAGAAAAAAAGGTCAGGCAGGCAAAGTTCAGGTTGTCTGGTAGGACACACACTGAGGATTCACGTACCTGAGAAGACGATTCTCAAACTAGAACAGCTGACACACTGAGAGCTCAATTCTGTCACACAAATACTGGGTAAAATTCCTCTCAAAAATGTCACCCACTGAGTAGACACCATGCAAGTGGATCTACTAGAATGAATGGACCTCTTTGCAGAATGGATTATTATTTCATGCGCTAGATTCTTCTAAGAGTGATAAAATCTAGCAACCGTGTTTTAAGCTCTGATCCTCACCAATGCTCGTGTTTGTGAGCAGTGATGTAAAATTCAAGGGGACTCTTTCTCCATAAATAAAGTCAGCAGCAGTAGGTTTAAGTGCCTTAGCCAGCGAATTCCTTAGCGCAACTATTAATTGTTACTATATGGTTTCAAGAGCACCAGCAGGAGTGCTCAGCTTCTTCTAAGGTGAAAGGTAATTACCATTACAACTACAACTCCACAGGCGTGCAAGCTAAATCCTGTCCCAAAGCTTTGTATAAGCAGTCAGATTATTTTACCTTATTTTTTCCAAGCTGCCATTCAGTACTTGTGTTATCATACAGATGAAGGAGGACAGCACATTTCTCATTTATATCTTCAGGCAGAGTTAAGTTTCTCATGAGCACTTTATACCTGGCAACCAAAAAGTATTTTTATTACTTCATGTAAGAGAGAGAGTTCCTATTTTTGCCGTTGCATTAGATTTCCAATTTATTCCTCAACAGAGAAACATGGATATGATACCCATGACCCACTCCTGATGGGTACAGCTCAGCCTGTTTACCTTTTATAAAAGTCTTGAAAGGGCCTTCGGACTGGGAAGCCAGCCCTTCGAATCCTTACTGTCTCCAACATCCCGGAATAGCGCAGCTGGTTAAGCACCACAGTCTGATCAAACTGGTCTGGCATCTAAAAAAAGCAGGTTCAAAATGAGCTGTTTAATAGCAATGGTTATCATCACTATCATTCTACAGTATTCGTAATGCGAGATGTCAGGGAAAATAAACAAAGGGCTATATGTAAATCTGAAATGCACAAAGACTAAAAAACTAGCCACACAATTTCTTAAGCACATTGTCAGTTCAGAACATATAAAAAGCTACCTACAGGATGGAAGTAAAAGGATATTTACACAATACAATCCCCACATTTAGAGTATTTACAGTCATTTAACCCAGTCAACTACCCCTCTCCATTCCTCTTTTATTTGCTAACTGTTGCTATGCAGAAAAAAAGCGATGGAAAGACCCACAAGATGGCTAAGTCAGCAGCTACAAGCTTGATTGTTTTGTTTCTTTAGCCACTGAATTTATATTCCCTGGAGATAATGCCAAGTGTCAAAGATACTAATCTAGTGGTATGATACTGTTTAAGAACAAAACAAAACCAAAAAGGCAGAAAAGAAGATTTGATTTTTAATTTTTCAAACGTAGTGATGTTTCATCTTCTATTGAGAGTGATGGAAGTCTGCTAGTGTTACTTCAAAGCTTAAATGAGCTATGTTGCAAAGAGTTTCTATTCTCTACTAATTCTGAACAGCAGAAATATTATTTTCATCTGTAAACAGAAAAAATATCTGCTTATGTGAAATAAGTTTCCTCTTGGTTGCATTAGGTCTTCTCGCATCTTTTTTTCATTGAGAAAATAATGTCAACCACTCAGTCATGAAAACCTGCAAGTGATCACCGGTCATGTTCCTATCCAAGCTCTCAGGATCCTCTACATCACCTGTGCTTTTGCCACACGGCCACACGAAGCTACTCAAGTTAGTGCTAATCACAATCCTGCAAAATGCTGACAACTCCGATACTGAAATCACAACACATGTAAACACAGTTTAATTCAGCAGCCCAACAGTCCACCTGAACACACCAGTTTAGCCTCCTGCACAATGATCTGCAGGACTGGAGTACAGTGCTTAATCTTTTGCAAGAATAATTCAGAAGGTAGGATCTCATAGATATAGTTAATGGTTTACACAAAAACTCATCCAGCTCCCACTGCAGTCAGTGCAAGTTCTTCAACTAATGTTAAGTGGCATCAAGATGGAGCCTTGAGCAACTGTAAATCAGAGGGCTTTTCTGCTATTTCTAAACTGGTTTTAATCATGCTTCTTGTTCAACTTAGCGAATAAATGGCTCCCCAAAACTGTAACTTATCAGAAGCAATTTTAGGAAACACAGAATCAAAAGTTACTTTAAACTATCCAAATTAAACTTTTCCATTGGCCCCTGTTTCTGCTTAAAACAAAAAACGCTGCTAGTGATAGCGGCTCTGATTTGTTAGTTATGTAACTTTCAAAATATCAACAGATTAGCTTTTAACTACCCCCTGCAAAAGGTAAAATGTCTAAAGCAGACTGCCGTGATTGTCTTCTGGCCGTTCATTTCGTTTCTGGAGCAGTGCGAGTTGGGAGACTTCTCCGCATGCAGCAGCCCTTCTGCACAGAGCCCCACGGGCGAACGGCTCCCCAGCGCACACCACTGCCGCCAGCAAAAGACTTTTCCACCCCTTCCTTAGGGGCAGAGGCCAAAACTCGTATGGAAAAACGCCACCAGCCTGACCTTTCCTCCACAGTTAACAGCACTGGACAAAAATGAAAACAATCTGTGTTTCAAACAGCGGCATGGTGAGCCCTGCCCTTCTCAGGGTGATCAGTGGTGTGCGGCCGCAGGGTCTGCTCCTGCCCGAGCAGGGGCACTGGGGGCTATGCGGAAATTCAGCCACTCCCACTGAGATGGGTGCTTGCATCCTAGGGAGACCTGGGAGCCGCATAAACTCTGCACCATGTCGGCCCTTGTTAGACTACTGGTTTCGTTACAGTGTGATTTATCGTTTTGTTTCCACACCCCCACATATAAAACGTTAGCATTCCGGAAGGGAAAACTGCCTTTACAGGTGATACAAACTCCTTTTTTCTTGTCACTAGCCATACTTAATTTGGGTTTCGCCAGCACTTGTAAAATACACGAGTAAAACTTTTACGTTTTACTCAAGATAGTCTAGGGCACCATATAAACGTTTACAAGAAAGGCATCAGCATGGTCATGACTGAGATTGCCAAGAGTGCTTTCCGCAAGCGCCCAGCGCGTGGTGGTTGCATGTGTCCGAGAACTAGCCCCGCAAAACTGCGTTACGATGGACACGCGCAAAAGCTGCCTGCCTGTCTCTACGCAGGTGGCTGATGGTCCCTGAAAGGCAAGGGAAGGACTGAACACAGACGCACATACAAGCCAAGACAGAAAACGAATTCACTTTCGCCCTGTATAACCCGAGGCTGATTTGCGCCACAAACCGACACATGGCAATACATATTTTTTCTTTGACGCTATACCTGCTTTTAGAGTTTTTACCTCTATCCTTATGGGCTCAAAGGGTCACATTCCTCATGTGACTCGGTAAGGACAAGAGCATTTTCAGAGTGGCAAGGTGAGGAGGCAGACGCACAGCCGCGAGTGCGGATACATCAAAGCGAGGCAAAATTTCAGTGACACTACTGACGCCGGTCTCGGGAGGCAGCCTCTCCCTCCACCAGGGAGAACCTCCCGCTTCGAGAGCCAGATCCCGACAACATTACCTAATCCTTTAACTGCCAACCCCAAGCACTTAAAAAGTCAAAAGTCAGCCACAAGATTAGTTTGAAAGCTCCTGTTGCTTTTTTCCGTTTTTTTTTTATTTCCATCCGTGTTTTGAGCCACATGGGAAGAAGAAACATTTTCAGGACTTTCTTCCTGCATCTATAGCCTGTTTTCTCACTAAAAACTGAGATTGTGGAACAACCATCCAACTCCAAAAGCCTGCATTTTTAAAGAAAAACATGAAACACTGCAAGAGATGTTAATACGGCATCAGCAGGGCAACATAGAGACCATCACAATTTTATTCACATAAGCTTACCTCTTCGTTTTACATCACTAATTATTTTTAATTACTCACAGACACATGAGGCTATTAAACTGGAGGACCAAATCCTGCCCTGGTGTAGCACTGGCGTTACAAAGCAACAAATCTGTCTTTCTTGTGAATAAACCTTGGTGGGGGGTAGAGGGAGGGAAGACATGCTGGGCTTATAATCTTACACTTTACATTTGGAAGCCCGGAAGAGACAGTTCCTACTACCTGAGGTCTTTCAAAGGCAGTGCCATCCTGGCTCCTGGGCTTCCCGGAGCTCTTCCTTTCTTACTAGCAGGGAAACAATATCGTCTAAGACATCATAGAAACTCTTCAGTCCTAAGCAATGAGAAGAGCTGCAGCCAGGCAGGCAGGCAGGGAGGGAGCCAAAACCCAAAACATGTAAATGCATCCAGGGCTTCCCACCTCTAATGCAAAACACCAGAGGAAATAACAAATTCAGTCCTGTGCACAATACCAGAGCGTTCAGCACTATCCACCTTATGACTTGGTCATGTGTTTCACACCAGCTAGTTTTACTCTGCGGATGAACAGGATTTCAGCCTCAATCATATAAATACTTACAGGCGCTAACTTCTAGTCAGTAGGACTCCTCATATGTTAAAAATCAATTGCATATGCATTTACCGAACCAGAGTGTAATTACTGCATATACATACCGCTATTAAACTGCAGACACTTCCAAGATGGAGAACGAGGACCATCTCCCACTGGCAGCACCTATGCTCAGTGTAGCACTGACAAAACTTGCAGCAGTATAATATCTTCACGCAAGGGGCTATCTAAGTAGCTGGAGCACATTCTGGTACGTTTACCGGTATTCCGTCAGACTTACTGTGATAAATAAACTAACTTTCAGATTTATACCCAAACCACATAGAGCGGCATTCACCTCTGGGGTGTGGTAAACTTCTACCAGTATTGCTTTAAACTGAACCTGCTTCACAAATGAACACTAGGGAATAAATTGTATTCTGTAAAAATTTGAAGACAGTCAACAGAACCGTAAGTGATTTCGAAGCAATATCAAATTCACACTGTCTTCCAAAGTAAAAATTGGAATTAATTGCTGTAATTACGAGTCGTATAAAGATCAACTGTATGAAATAGAAGCCATCAGAAAAGGAAGTCAATTTATGGCTTCTAAAATTGTTTGAGATGCCTTCAACTTCAAATCTATTCAATTTTCATAGTTGTTGCATTTTTATCAAGAAAGAGCAGCACCCTAAACCCCACACCCCCCAGACATCAGCTACTGACTCACTTGGGACAGGGCCACGTTAGGGCTCTGAGCAACAGCAACTTGGAATTTCTTATGCTTTAACAGCTACAAGTCAGGGCTGTTCTACTTGATAAAGGTGCTTTCTTGCGGTGCGTTCTTTCATAACGCAACTTGTAATTTATCACTTCCCAAATCCAAAAGTCTCCACTGAATTTGCGCCAGACAGCACTAAAGCCAAGGCTTTAATGTGACCTGGAGTCTGTGCTGGCGAGGCTCTGGCTTCTCAAGTGCTAAATGCTTGCTCTGATCTGTTCTGAGCCTCCTAAAGGGCAAAGCCTCTGCCTAAAATCACAATTAGGTGAAGCCACTAGGCCAGACATCTAACACCTACGCATAGTTTTCATTATAAAATAGTTCCTTAGATTACAGGCTGACTGAGGTTTGAAAAAACAACTTCCCCTTCCCCTGGACAGTGCCCTTAGTGCAGAGCCCAAGTGAATAACACATATACAAAATAAAATTACAGGGTTTTTTTGTTCTGCGGATCATTTGTTCAGTTCAAACAAAGAGAATATCTGACTTTCCCCACACAGAAATCCTTTTTCATCACAGAACTACTAGCTGCCTTGGAAGAGGACAGCCACAATAATACCAGATTGCAACAATCTCACAGAGCTCACTTAGGCAGGAGGAGTTTCACAGAGAGAATCGGGGAATGGAAAAAAAAAAAAAAAAGACAAGACAAAAAAGAAAAAATTAAACAAAAAGAGCCAGT